GGTTTCTTTTTCTTTGTGTTTTTTGTTTTGTTTGGTGTTTTTTTAAACCTCATGTCTCTTGTCCAACTCTCAGCTGAAATCCTGTTCCAGGGAACTGTGGCACCTACCAGTCCTTCTGATTGACTCTGCCACTTCATCAAAGGGTATTAAAATGCACTTAAACTTATAAAAACTGTTTCTATATACACAGAGTCACTAAAACACAGTACCTGGGTCGGTAAGGTTAATATTCAGGTTGCTAAAGGACTCTTCCCCTCACAAAGAGATGGGGCAGCTGCCCCTTTGCAGGGTATAAATCTGTTCACTGAAGCCACAAGGTGGAGATCTCTGGCAAAGCAGGAGCCCAAGGAAGTCTCTTACCCAGCCTAACGTTACTATTAACACTTGGAGCCATTGCATCAAGCCAATTTTTCTGTTTGTTTTTAAAGTTTGATAGAAATGTCACTAGTGGAAAAATGAAGTAAAGAGCACTGGTTAGCCACAGAACAGGGCACACCTGGGTGCAAACCGAGCAAAAGAAACTGAGTTCATTAGTAGTAGGGACAGCAGAGTAAAATTTATATCTGAAATCTGCCTGCACCAGTAGAATTTGCTGAGGCCACAGGCTCTCCCTGTGTTTTTACAGCTGTGTCAAGTTTTGGTTTCTGACTCTTGCCGACATTCAGGAGTGCTGAAGGAGCTCAGGCTAACAGGTCCCAAAACTTTGTAGCTGAGATTTAGATCTCAGCAATTTTAACAACCAGGTTTTGAAATAATACAAACTCAATTTGGAGCTGGATCTGATGTAAATTAGTAGTTAAAATGCCTTACATTCTATCACTTTCGGCTCCAATGAACTTATATATTTAAGAGTAGATGGCATATTTTAATAAACCATCAGTATCAATTCAGGACTAGAGTATCCTTTTTCTGCATCGAGCTGGAATTGGTGCTAGGTAGGGAAATGAGGCGAAGAACTGCAGCTTTGTCTGTCAATGAGTTAAACTAATTGCATCCAAGCAGTGATTTCATACAGGTGCTCTGTCACTTACACCCCAATATGGGAATGTACCAATTGGAGTTAAATACCCACCTTTGATACCCTGCATGAGAGAAAAAGCAGGGAACGGAATTTCCTAACCTCCTTGGAGCTATGCAGATGATAACTTAGTGCCCTAAAAGTATCCAGTAAAGTTTCTTTTCATGTCACTTACTTTTGAGAAAGACTCAGATTCTGAAATTTGAATGCATCAACAGAGGAACATTAACATCGTATTTTTTCATTTACTATTCTTGTCATGATATATTCAACTCCCTTTTTTTGGAGGTAGACTATATACTGATTGCAGGACTAAATTATTGAAAATAAATAGCTGTTACACATGTTCCTCAATCAGCTCACAAGCCCTTTGTCATTACCTCAGCTTCATTTTAATAGAACTATTAGGGAGAAATGCGTCAAGATTCATAAGTAGGACGTAACACCTGGGTAGCTGCTCTTTGCTTCTGTGTCACTGAAAACTCCTTGCACTTGCTAAAGTGGAGGTGTGAGGAAGAGTTTGATCAGAGTCCATCCATGAAACAGGGAGAAAAATAAGTGCAGAAGAGTGAGCAAGCACGGAAGAGGCAGGAACTGCCCACGCAGGGGCTCAGCAAGTGGGGTATGAAGCTTGGATTGCTAGCACTGAGGAAGGAAAATAAAGCAATGATAAGGAGCAGAGGAACAGCTAAGCTCTTCAAACATCAACGCATAAACTATTTTCATCTAACATACAATAAATGCTACCAGAAGAGACCAAAAAGTTCATTCATCTTGACAAAATAACATCTGAAAGATTAGGAATAATTAAAAGATGAAAGAAAAAACTCACTAAAGGGTGATGAAAGCCCTATGCCTTCACACACACTATGGGGGAGAGAACAGCCCTGATTTCCCAGTTTACAGTCCAGGAGAGCTCACGATGGTTTCTTACACACCCTGAGTGCTCGGTCTAGTCAGCTCTTACCTCAAGAGTTCACGTTCTCTAACAAGGAGTCTCATTAAAATCAATGGGCCTCTGTGCAGTGAAACTATATTAAATATGCACACAGATGTAACTGTTTTTGAGATCAAGCCTTTAAATGTGTACTTACTCCCTTTAAGCATCAGCTATTGCCACATAAAAGCTACATTAACACTAGGTTACAGTCAAAAGTATATTATAGGAATCATATTATTGCAAACTAAGCATGTTCATTATTGCATCGCATGATCTTTATTATAAACAAAGATTGCGAAATGTAGATTCAAGGATAAGCTGACAAGATGCCCAGCCTGCCAAGGCAGAGAGCAAATGTCCTTCAAACCACTTAAGATCTCCTCACAGTTGCATCATCCAGCAACCGTAGCAGTATAATACGCATCTATTAACATTTGAGGCTCTAGACTGGATGAAAACATAAGGTGTGTTGAGGTTTTTTTTTTTACACTTTGGGGAATTTTGGGAAGCAATGGAATAGTTTAGTTTGCAGAAATGGAAACCCTGTGCTTGCCTTTACAAAGAACTGACTGCAAGCACTATCTTTTTTTTATTTTTTTTCCTCCTTAAAGTTTACTGAAAAAAAATATCTCGATACAGGTCTAACTTACACCATGCTTCACTTTTGGCATCTGTAAGGGTAGCAAACAGCTGGCTTTGCTTCTCTATGCTGCTGCCTCAAATCCTACAAGGAAAACTATGGGATAGTGTTTGAGGTTAGTTCATATAAGGCAAAATGAGGGTCAAAAAGAACAGAGAAATAATTTTCTGTTCCCGAGCAGCATTCTCTCTGTGCATAGATGGAATCTAAAGATCCCAGAAGAGATTTTGTGAGGCTATGGGAGGTGGGGTGTTTGTCTGGGGTTTGGGGCTGTGGGGTTTTTTTGCTTTTCAAGAAGAGCAGACTTAAGTTTGCACCCAGAATGAAGATCTGAGCTGTCTCCAGTCCCTACAGGAAGCAGAATCGCCCACTGAGATGACATGGGAGGCACTGGAACAGGCCAAAAACACGTAACCTATTTTATTCAATCTTTTTCTCTGGTATGATCATCTAATTTGTCGAGGTTCACTCATGCTGCCTTATGGCATCTGACCAGGAAAGTGGAGATTCCCCACTGGAATTTATGTAAGCCCATTAATGTAGCAAGAAATTCTAAGATGCCTGAATTTAGATTTAATCCAAAGGAAACTTAAGAGCATGACTTGACTGTAAAAGCAAGCTGAAACATAGTAAAGCTACGAAATTCCCAACAACTAGGAAAAAAAAGCCATTGCTGACAGAATAACTGAAGTTACACCAGAATCAACACTTTCTAAAACCACATACAAAATAAAAAAAGATCAGAGAGAAACTTCTGGAATTACAAGTGATCACACACCAAATCCTAACTCCGTGGTTAATTCCCTTGTTCGTCACCAGTAAGAATACCCAAGCAGCTGACTGACAGTATGCCGTTATTGCTATATAAGAACTGTCACCTCTCCCTTGTTTATGTGACTGACAATATGCCGTTATTGCTATATAAGAACTGTCACTTCTCTAACAGTCTAATTGATTTTAATCACAGAGAAACATCTATTTAATCACTGAACTATTATTTTCTTTTTCCACAACACAGGAGATCTTTCCCAGCCTTATTCTCCCAAGTGCCCTGAACACAGGCATCCTCAACTCTATCAGGTTCTCTTATCACCGCTGTGATACTGGGGATATGAAAACCATCTCCTACTTCTGCACTGCCATCTTACACCAACACAAGGCTGAAGAAATACCCTTAGAGAGTTTAAGGTCAGAAATGACCATTGTAAGTAACCATAATAACCTTTCTCAGAACACGCCAAAAAGATCCAACTGTGTTCTTCCTTCAAACTTGCCAATGAACTATCCTTGGAGCTGCTCCCTCCTTACAACATTTCTTTTGTGATAAAGACTTAGAATCCAAAATGAAAAAAATAAACTAATGACTAGTTATTAATCATGTATAGGAACTTAACACAAAAACCCGTCTCTTAACTTCCCTTTTACTCACCATCCTAGCTACAGAGAAAACTCAAAGCTCTACTGGAATTACTTAAGCTGCCGTTACACGTTTGGCACCAGTCATGTCTCTCCCTACCTCGGCTGCTCATTCCTATCCACAAATGCCCATTCTGTTACAGCAGCATCCATTTCTGCAATCACATGGAAAATTAATTGCTTCCAGGCACATCAATATCTTCATCCAGGCCCTAGTGCAGTTTCAGAGACAAGGTGAGTGGCTCAATACAAGGGCAGTACAGCCATGGGAACGAACCGTCAGGAGGAAGCTAAAGCTAATAAAGAAATAAACAAGCAGTGTGACCAGCAGAAGTAGGGAGGGGATTGTGCCCCTGTACTCAGCACTGGTGAGGTCACACCTCGAGTGTTGTGTCCAGTTTTGGGCACCTCAATACAAGAGAGATCTCGAGGTGCTGGAGCGAGTGCAGAGGAGGGCAACGAAACTAGTGAAGGGCCTGGAAAACAAATCATATGAAGAGCGGCTGAAGGAGCTGGGGCTGTTCAGTATGAGGAAGAGGAGGCTGAGGGGAGACCTCATCACCCTCTACAACTACTTGAAAGGACCCTGTCGAGAGGTTGGTGCTGGTCTCTTCTCACAGGTAATTAGTGACAGAACGAGAGGGAATGGCTTCAAGCTCCAACAGGGGAGGTTTAGACTGAACATTAGGAAAGAATTTTTCCCCGACAGAGTGGTCGGGCATTGGAACAGGCTGCCCAGGGGGGGGGTGGAGTCCCCATCCCTGGCTGTGTTTAAGGGCCGTTTAGATGCAGTGCTGAGGGACATGGTGTAGGGGAGGACTTTGTAGAGTAGGGGAGATGGTTGGACTCGATGATCCCAAGGGTCTTTTCCAACCTAGACGATTCTATGATTCTATGATTCTTAGGCATTATTCTAAGATATTCAAAGTTACAAAAGCGTCAAAACATGGGAATCATCACCGTTATCAAAACCAAAGACGACTTACCCCCATCACCTTACCGCGCTGCTCAACATCCTCCCACATGCAGTGGACTATATAGCGACACATGTATTTCCCAGTGCGGCCCTCCTGCTTCATTCGCACCAGACACATCCTGCAGGAACAGAAACACCAAGTTCATAGCTTTGAGTTCTTCTTCAAATATAAAGAGTATTTTAAATATATTTCAGCTCATGTAAGACTCTCACACACAGTATGTGGTTTTGTCAACAGAAAAAAACACACATGCACTTTTTTTTTTTTTTAAATAAACCATCACTTTTCTATTCTGTACTCAAGAGCTGCATCTCCTGGATTTTGGCCAATCCAGCTACAGAAGAGTGACAGCTGACTCTATTCTGGCTGACAGTACTGTCATCTAATTAAACAGTACGGCAATCTAAATTCCTCCACCATAAGAACATCTCACCCTTTGGAGTAGGAACAAATGTCTTGTCTAATCCTAGGCCACGAGCCACCTTGGTTGTACCGAAGTGTTGTATGAGGCCCAACCAGCCAAGCTGTGAAAGCTTAAGCAAGTTACAGACTTCACCTAAATTCACATTAGCAATGTCCTAAATTATTTCAACTACAGGGGCCTTTGGATACACATCCAACCACTTGGCAAAACCCCCACAGGCAGCACATGCTGGAAGGACTCACAAGTTTGTAAGTGCATTGTGGGACCCTAATGAGAATACCAGCTTGAGTTGTTTGACTTTTTTTTTTTTTTTAAGCATTAAAGCCTCTTGAACTTCATTGCTGCTGTTGTGTCTCAAAAATAAATCTTCAGAACAAACTTATTTTATAATATCTGTAAACAGCATGAACTGAAATACAGGCTAATCCCTCAATGAGCTAAGAGACCAGTCCCATCACCAGTCCCACCTTCTCTGCCCCACTAACCAGCTCTACTCCTGCGTTATGGGTCAGAAGTGCCCGTGCAGGGACCAAGTGACTGTAGATGAAGTGATGCTTGAACCCCAGAGCTGAAAGAAGTCACTGCTTTGCACAAAGACATGCTACAGGGGGGAAACTGCTCACAGGAAATTCTGCTCACAGCTAACATGAAAGCAGCAGAGAGAGCTGTGGGAGGAGCTCTGAAGCTGTTGCATATTGACAACAGTGAATGTGCCACAAGAGTTAATAGCTAAAAATGATGGTTATTTTTTTTATCTGTTCATTTCTTCAGTCGACATGAGATCTGTGCCTCCCTACAGCACTTGGTGCTCTGTGAATGCCAGCTCCACAGGGAGAACCACAAACACTCCAAGCTCGTCTGTTGAGCCGACCTGCAGAAGGACAGATGCCCATCTTTGTGATGGGTTCTAGCTTGTCTACTGATTAGTAAAGGCAAGATATTTTTTAACCTGCAAAGGAAGCAAAACTTACTGGCAGCAATGAGTCACAGAGACAAAACAAACATGAGTCCTGTGTTCTTTCTTCTGATTAGAACCATACGTAAGTCCCACACAAGGGCCATTCAATTGAGACACCAAAAATTGCAAGAAGAAAAGCCCATGGACCAGAATCTGATTTCTAGATGGAGACCTCTGAATACAACACTGGCCATAGAAGAAACAGCTCCAATACAAGCCAGGTGGAATGAGGTGAGAAGACGGGAGAGAGGGACCAGGGCATGATGAGGACCACAATGGTCCAAGGGTGGAGCCACAAGAGTCTGGGTGGAGAAGGGAAGGGAGCGTGGGGAAGCCTCGGCCATTTCTGTCTCAGGAAGGAGCGGTGGAAGGATTCTCAAGGTTTATACTGTGGCAATGGGAACTCAGTGTCTGTGGTATCAAGAGATGAATCCTCTTCTCCTCACAGAAAAACAACAAAGTTTTCTGGAGTTCCTCAGAACTCAGAGAACAACCATCCAGGTACCTGTCCTTCCACAGAACAAATGCACAAAAAGCTTAACATTTTTGTGTCTTAATTCCACCAGTTTCAAAACCTTTGACCTCTTGCGCATTTACATAATTGAGCTGTATGAAAAAGTTAATCAGAGTTACCGTATCTCAAATTTCTACCCACTCCTTATAAGTCAAAGAGAAAAAGACTCAGTCTAAATTTTGGGGCTAAGTATTTTTATACTTCTCTTGCAGAGTACGCAAGCTCGGGATGGAGAACAAAAAAAAAAAAAAAAAAAGGAAGGGAGCGTGGGGAAGCCTCGGCCATTTCTGTCTCAGGAAGGAGCGGTGGAAGGATTCTCAAGGTTTATACTGTGGCAATGGGAACTCAGTGTCTGTGGTATCAAGAGATGAATCCTCTTCTCCTCACAGAAAAACAACAAAGTTTTCTGGAGTTCCTCAGAACTCAGAGAACAACCATCCAGGTACCTGTCCTTCCACAGAACAAATGCACAAAAAGCTTAACATTTTTGTGTCTTAATTCCACCAGTTTCAAAACCTTTGACCTCTTGCGCATTTACATAATTGAGCTGTATGAAAAAGTTAATCAGAGTTACCGTATCTCAAATTTTTACCCACTCCTTATAAGTCAAAGAGAAAAAGACTCAGTCTAAATTTTGGGGCTAAGTATTTTTATACTTCTCTTGCAGAGTACGCAAGCTCGGGATGGAGAACAAAAAAAAATGGCTTGGCAAGAAAACCTCCTCCCGAGCAAAAGTAGAGGTTCGTTCCCAGTGTGCCGGGAGCAGCAGTGGGGCAGGAGCAGAGAGCACAGCCCGGCATCCGTCACTGCCCAGCAGGGCCTGGAGCAAAACCTGCTCCCCGGGGAGCCTAAAAGGCAGCTCTGTGTTTGGATGCATAGTGCTGTCACAGAGCTGCTCTGCAGCACCACCAGTGAGATCATGGAATTTTGCAGTTTATTTGAAAATTTGGTAGTTTGTTACTGCACCTGCTGTCTGAGGTTTAAAAGACACATGCTCTTTAAAGACTGTAAACCTTCTAACTAGATCAACACAGTGTGAAACGTTTTATCGTTTCACTACAGAATCTGTTCTGTAGTTTAGTCAAATACTGACTAATCTTCCTCAAACCACAAAAGCAAAATTATTCCAAACTATCTTTAGAAAACTGTCTGCCTGATATTGGTTGGGTTGGATAATTTATGCTGTATTTCAGATTATGTTAGAAGAGAATCGTACGAAAATTGGACGACATTGGTTGTGTTGGGTAATTTGTGCTGTATTTAAGATTATGATAAAAGATTATATGAAAGGACGCCTGGAAAGCAACAGGAGCACCTACAAGTTGACCCATCTTAGATGAGATATAGCAGGTTCACACAACAGCCTCAGCTACAACCTCTTCTGTCAGCATTCCCAAAGTGTGTCGAATGCCAGAAGCGGGAGCTGACACCATCCTGTCAACTCCTGTGAGGTGGTTCACTGCCATCAAGGTGTGAGGGATACTGCTAAGGGCAAAGCCCACCCAGAGGTTCCCGCTGTCCCGTGGCCCTGCCTCCACATTCCTGCTTCCCCAGCTGCTCCAGAGCAACTATTTCTGGGGCTATTTTACATTTGTTCAGAGAAATCACTCTGGCTCAACACCATAAGTACCAACAGCAACTTGGGGGACAGGAGAAGGAAGCTCCTGAATGGACTTTGTCATCATGTCTGTGTTGTGACATACACTTGTATCACTAATGGTAACGAGCAGAATTCTGAACTCTTCCTCATTAGGTATGGATGCTATCCTGTGCCCCGGCCTAGCAAATTCACCAACTACTGTATCTACAGCCAGGTAAAGGTCTTTGCAGGGGCACACGCTAACAGAAGCCAGCCCAGCTCCACGGTCTTCCTCTCCCCAGTGCTTAGGCCATGTAGCCCATTCCCTCTTAGTAAGGCAGGATCAAATAAACACCTAAGACATCCCAGATAAGCTTGTTCTTAAAACCTCTTTCAAACAAGACTCCTCCGATGTAATTTAAATCCTTTTCTCCCTGCCCTCGCTGCCACGAACAATGAGAGTTTATTCCCTTTCTTCTGAAACAGCACATTTCGAAATGGCACAGTGTCCTCAGACTTCTCTGCGCCGATCCAAGAAATCCTCTCTTGCAGGAACTATTTCCTACATCCTTGGTGGTTCTTGTTCTCCTGCACACTCTCTCAGACCGATCAACACTTTCTCAAGTGCAAAAGACAATGCTCAGATGAATTCTTGCAACAGATCTTTGCATCTCTCAGAACAGGAATTGTAGCAACACTCCTTTTTGATCCTAAACACTTTCGAGATGTCAGCATGGTTGGTGTGGTGAAGACACGAAGGGAGCTCTAGGTGATACATCCTGCACCAAGACATTTCTTACTACAGTCAAAGTCATGTTTTTGGCAGTTTCTGAACAGCTCCAGTTAGACCGGCATGGCATGGGAAAAGCCAAACCCAGCACTGGAGATGAAACCTGGAGATTTTGTAAAAGGTCTGCACTTCTAAACATAAAAAAGAGTCATCCTGACATCAAAGGTCTGAAGTAACTGAAACTGTCTATAAAAACATGACGTTCAGGAAAGAATATTGATAGGTTCATTTTCTAAAGTATAATTTTAGACTGCATTGGAAGGGCTGGAGTGTATTTCACTGAATTTCACTGAATTTTTAGAGTTGGAAGGGACCATCGAGATCAGCTAGTCCAACTCCCCTGCTAAAGCAGGACCACCCAGAGCATGTCAGATCATGCCACTCAGGACAGCATCCAGGCAGGTCTTAAAAATCTCCAGAGAAGGGGACTCCACACCCTCCCTGGGCAGCCTGTTCCAGGGCTCTGTCACCCTCACCGTGAAAAAGTTCTTCCTCATATTCAAGTGGAACCCTTTATGTTCCAACTTGTGCCCATTGCCCCTTGTCCTCTCACTGGCAACTACTGAAAAGAGTCCGTATCTAAAGGAACATTATCTTGAAAGAAGTCAGCAGGAGGAGAGGCTAAACAAGAGAGCCTCAACTTCTCCCCTTTCTGACTGGAGGTTAAGTAGGAAAACTCTATTCACAGACAAGAAGAAATAAGAGGCAGAGATTCAAGCAGAAGACCCATCAGAATCTGTAAGGCAAGAACAAATGCTCGGACAAGCACCTTAAGGCTATAAAAGGTGGGATTTAAAAAGCACAGAAAGGCAATTAGAGCTTGATGGGCAATGACAACAGCAAAGGAGACAAGATTTACCAAACTAGGAAAAACTCTCATCTTCTCCAGCTCCAGAAGAAACTCTGAATCAGTTGAAATTAAAACTCCAAAGGTGGCAGTGGAAGTAAATACACCAGAATGCGATCTATTCTGCAATGCAAGGGGGAACAGGAACACTTTAACAGACGGTGATCAGAATCTACACCATCAGGTCATTGACCACCAGATCAAGAAGGTTTGTAGCCTCTGAGGCAAAGGTCCAGCAGGAAAGACGGAGCTATCACAGCCTTCAGTCAGGGTTAGGACATCCTTGACCTTGCCAGAGCAGGCAAAATCAATAATGTTCTGCTCTCACTTCATTGAGGTCAAACTGATTAAGAAAGACAAACGCAAGTAACACAGCAATAAACCCAGCTGTGAAAGGAGAATTGTGTCATGGCAGGATGCTGGTCACCGGGCTCACCACAAGCAAAGCCTGCAGCATTTCCCAGTGATGCAGGTGCTGAGCAAGGCCTGTCACGGGCTTCTCTGTATCCTGGAACATCAAACTGGATCTCTTATTTGTGGTCCAGAAAGACAGAACTCTTTAGGTGAAACAGCAAGGAACAGGGAGGAGCCAGGCACATTAACCTTGGGAAAATGAACATCCAGTGCCAACCTCCCCACTCGACTTTTCATTGCCATCACACGAAGTAGAGGGATTTGGTTCCTTCCTGCCTTAGTACAGTGTGTCCTGTGCCTGCCCGCCGTGTCTGAGACATAACAGTAAGTCCATTTCCCTCATTCAATATCTCCTTAACATCACTGGCTCAAAGTGTGGCAACTCTTGGCCTTCTCCATTGTAGCTTTGATCTTAGAATTTCTGAGTCTATCCCACACTAGCCTCATCTCTATCATAGTCCCCTTGTTTATTTTTATGCCTGTCATGAAAGAAGATTACGTATCTCGAATTTGATGCTGTGTATCACAGGGTACATTTTCCTGTCAACATGAAATCAAGATGATGTGAAAGAAGTGTGTTCTTTGCAGATTCATGTTATCCCTCTTTGGTTTTCCATAGATACTTACAAGAAGTTTGGTTTTGAATATTTATTAGAGTAGTTTTCCAGATATCAATATAAATTATTAGATTATCAATTAATTTTTTTACAACCTTTTTTCCACAGTAAGAAATAAATAAGCTGCAAATGTCAAGGGTCTTCTTTACTTGATTCCACTGATTTCATTAACGGATAATTTCAATGGTTCTTCTATTTTATTCAATTCTTTAGTGAAATGAGCTGCCCCATCTTTCAATATATTGAGGAGACAGGAAATTAAAAGGAGGGAAGGAAAAAAGGGGAGGCAAGAAAAAAAAGGGTCCTGTGCTTAAGTGCAGCTATTTCAGTACAAACTTCTTCTCAGCCTTCAGGCAGCTGAACCTCAGTCTCTGGATTTCAGTTTTCCTGAAAGATCTGGCACTTCACAAAAATTACTGTACTCCCTTGTGCATCCTTCTGACCTTTACAAGTATGTAATGCTAGATGAAAACCTGATTTTTTTGGATACTATTTTCACAAATGAAAAAAAGGAAAAAACTTCAATGTTTAAGGTGTTAAATATTTTCCCATGCAGCCAAGCTGGCATTCACCAACTCGCCTGTACGTCTCAGAGGCGCGAGAATAAATGCCAATGCTATAATTTGTTAAATGCTTCTGACGAGCAGCAACTTCAATCACCACAAATTCTCCCAATTTAAACCACTTTTACATAAATTTAAACTTTTCCTAAAACATCCAACTAAGATTTTTCCACACAGGCTGAGCAAGGCTTTTAGAAAACTCATGGCCAAGATCATTCCACTGCTGAGGAATTCAGAGATGTAAAAGATGTCAGCTTCTCTGTGGGACTTCTCATGCTTTAGTAGGGAACTGCTAAAACTCAGTAATGAGTAAGTCGAGTATAAACACTATTATCAATAACCATGGAGCCAACTTTTTCTCACATTAAAGTATGTATCACTTGTTTTCCTGAAAATAGTTCTATTACTTTTCTTTTCACTTACCAGACGTGAAGCTGGGCCACTAGAAACCATGAATTCAAAGTGTCAGGCATTTGGCACCCTTGTTGGAAGAGGAGAAAAAAACACAAAACCAAAACTATTAACAAAACATGTTAATATGAGTTTCATCACATTTTGCGCCTAACAGAAATTCACTGCACCAAAATCTAATACATTTTAGTAATTTAACTTCTAGCCCTAAACAGTACCTACACAGCAGAAGCAAACATGATTTACTGTCACACTTGTGCTTGAATCCTAGAACATGCAGCCATGGGACGCTGTGGATTCTGAAAGATTTCATGTGTTTAGAACTCACTTAAATAACATTTGCGGGGGGGAATCCCAAAATGGAGAATCAGGCAAACATGTGGCTTCTAACTCTGGAAGTCCCAAACCAGTAGAGAATAAAAGGGAAGTATCAACGGATGCTGTTGCCTCCTGCTGGGGACAGGATACTGGGTGCTACTGGGGTCTTTGCTGCTCTGATTGACCACACGGCTGTAGGACCCCAGCACTCTGAGTGTTCCCGGCCTCCAGCCATTCCACATTAGCATTAGAACCACCAACCAACCATAGAAACAATTTCTGTTTCCAGATTTAACACTACTCCTGTAGCCATTGGGCTTCCCACAGATGGTTTGTCCATACACATGTTCACACTATCAATTAGTGCATGGGGTCATGGATGGGGATGGGGCCAGTCTTTTTTCAGTGGTGCCCAGGGACAGGACAAGAGGAAATGGGCACAAACTCAAACATAGGAAGTTCCACCTAAACATAAGGAGGAACTTCTTTCCTGTGAGGGTGGCAGAGCCCTGGAAGAGGCTGCCCAGGGAGAGTGTGGAGCCTCCTTCTCTGGAGATATTTAAAACCCGCCTTGACACGTTCCTGTGGGACCTGCTCTGGGTGGACCTGCTTTGGAAGGGAGGCTGGACTGGATATCCTCCAGAGGTCCTTTCAACCCCACATCATGCTGTGATTCTGTGATCTGTGTGTGCCACTAGGATGTGAGGCCAGAGATTTAGGCTGTGTGGCACAGATACCGTAGTTCTCTTTCTCATGCTTGAAAAACATGGATGTATTGGTTATGCACACATTAATTCTTTCAATTCCCGACAATCTGAAACCTTTCTCCTCAGAAGTCACCTCTACATCTGTTTCCTGGAGAAACTTTTAAGAGGAGTACCTAGTGAGAAAGGTCTGACAGTCACCTTGGCCAACCCAGCACTGGGTCTTGTCTCTGGGACTATCCAAACCTAGTGGAGAGTATTCAGAAATGGATTATCCAGTCAGATGTGCCCCAATGGAGTCAACCTTATCTTTTCCACATAGAATATATTTCTTCCTGACTCCTATACTTCTTGGCTCTCAAGTATTACCGAGGAGATTCACCTGGATCATGAAGCAATACTTTTCACAGCCTCTTTCTTTTTATATGCCAACTACAGTCAGGCAAACGCCAGAAGAACCAAGCAAATCATCACTGTTCCTCCCTCCCCAGAGAGATGACTCCATCAGTGCCTGGGAGCTGCCAAGCTGCAGCATCAGTGCCCATCCATCACCTATACCACCTCTAAGACAGTATAAAGACGCCAACAGTCTATGTTTGGAGATTAAACACAAGTTTACCTCACCCTTCTCCTCTTTTGGCTCTCTCGTTCCTATTAGAAATAGTTCATGTGCCTAGAAATGACTACTTTGACCTAAAGGCACGCCAAGGCACCTCCAACCAGGGCAAGAGTACACAATGCTTGTATTTATCAAACCGTTTCATTAAATCTTTCCACAGCAAGATTCGGTGTAAAACACTTAGTTCAACAGACAGAGGTTTCTGAAGCAGAAACTACCACGTATCAGCCTCCCACCACAGAAATCACTCCTCAGTGGAAAGCAACCTCACACCTCTACTACTGGAAATACGGAAAGTTTTTAAAGACCTATTCAGTACCCTGGAGGGAAGAATTTTTTTCTCTAACTTTCCACGTGTTGCGCTTCTATTTTTAAAATTCATTTTTTCACTTCTATATTAGGACTGTCTACATCATGAATTTAAAGGAGGGATGGCTCCTTTAAAGCAAAACAGTTGCCCCTCAGGTATCAGCTTTTTACAAAGAATGCAATTTGAAAATTTGGGGATTTGAAACACCTTGTTCTGGGAAACTAACTGGGGAGAATAATCAAAGAGAAAATTACTCCCTTCAGAACAGAGTTAGATACAGAGAAAATGTCTGATGGTAAATCTACCTAAGAAATTAATGTGATTACTGTGATTATTATCTGCTGGGGAATAAATATACTCTGCACATCCTGTTTACACGTCTGTATACGATAAGAGACATGAACGCTCAGGATGATGAAGACATACCTCTTCCTCCAGTCATATTCTGCACTTAAAATTCATCAGGTAAGGGATGTAAAACTTGAACGTGGATTTTCTCTAACGATAGATCATCTATGCCACTACCACAATTTTAGGAAGGATGCAACGGGATAATATCCCCACATCCTTCAAAAAAAACAGTAGCACTATGTCCACATTCCCCTGAGCATGACAGAGAGTGGGCAGTGCCTGTAAGGCACCTGATGGGCTATGGGAGACAGAAAAATCTAGAGTCCTGTAGGTAAACTCCAGCTCTTTCAAGCTCCTCGGTAGCTCCACTAGGAGCCATCTGAAAAGCTGTTTTGATAGAGCCAGCTCTTTACCCCAGCAGCTGCATGAGAGTGGAGCAATTAACAGTATTAACAGCTCGAGACAATTCAAGGTAATGCAAATTCAAGGGAACCCTACGCTCCATGTTCATCTGACAAACTTCAGCTAGCTCTCAGTACCACCCACCTGATTCTAAAAGCTCTTTTGACCTTTCAAGAATAAGGTTAGGCATGAAACTCCCTCCATATTTTGGAAAATACTGTTTTAAGGCATAACAGAGAGAAAGGCAGTTCACAGGGTTCATACCACCTAACAGAACGTCTCACAGATTTCACTAGGTATCAGCAGAAACGCACAGAGACAAGACAGCATCTCAAGACACAAAACGCTATCACTGTCCTAGTCACAGAATCATAGCATTGTCCAGGTTGGAAGGGATCTTTCAGATCATTAAGTCCAACCATTAACCCAACACTGACAAAAACCACCACTAACCCATGTCCCTCAGCACCACATCTGCCCAGCTTCTAAATACCTCCAGGGATGGGGAATCCACTACTGCCCTGGGCAGCCTCTTCTAATGCTTGATAACCCTTTCTGTGAAAAATTTTTTCCTAATAACCATCTAAACCTGCCCTGGTGCAACTTGAGGCTGTTTCCTCTTGTCCCATCACCTGGGACTTGGGAGAAGAGACCCATCCCCTCCGGCTACACCCTCCTTTCAGGGAGTTGGAGAGAGCGAGAAGGTCTCCCCTCAGCCTCCTTTTCTCCAGGCTGAACACCCCCAGCTCCCTCAGCCTCTCCTCACAAGACTTGTGCTCCAGACCCCTCACCAGCTCCGTTGCCCTTCTCTGAACCTGCTCTACCCTCTAACCATCTTTCTTGTCATGAGGGGCCCAAAACTGGGCCTCACCAGTGGTGGGGCCTCACCAGTACCCAGTACAGGAGGATGGTCACTGGCCCAGTCCTGCTGTCCACACTGTTCCTGATAAAGGACAAGATGCTGTTGGCATCCTGGGCACACAGCTGGCATAGTCCTCACCACCACCTCATCCAGCCTTTCTACTCTATGTCACTTTTGTCAGAGAACTGCCTGACCAAACCCACACACCAACCCCAGTTCCATAAGGTCACACTCAGGTGTTACTCATGCCACATGAGCACAGCAGGAAAGCATATGCAGAAACACTGATGAAGGCTCTGTGGAGAACTGGTTCTGATCACCCAGGATTAACGAGCCCACAAATGGCTTCACACACGCGTGGATGTAGGGTTTCCAAGCCCAGCTCGGTAGGTTAACAGCTCACAAACAGCAGAGAAAAAAAGCTAATAAGCTCTCCAGAGAGCAGAGCTGGCTCCGTGCAGCTCACTTGGATGTCTCAACACCCCGCCACTAGAGCTATGGGGGCAGCAAAGCATCAAAACACCCCTAGGTCCACACAGAGCCAGCGGTGGCCCTGGCAGCCTGTGCTGGGTCCCAGGCAGCACCGGTACCACTCTCAGGGTGCCCAAGTGACACAGCCCATCGTGCAGGTGGGCAGCACCCACATCAGCATGGTCTGAGACACACCTGGGCTCGCTGCAGCACCAAGGGAAAGAGCCAGGAGTTGGTTGCTCCCTGTTCCCACCAGTGCCCCAGGCTGCTCTTCATAGAATCATAGAATCATTGAGGTTGGAAGAGACCCTTGGGATCATCGAGTCCAACCATCTCCCCTACTCTACAAAGTCCTCCCCTACACCATGTCCCTTAGCACTGTATCTAAACGGCCCTTAAACACAGCCAGGGATGGTGACTCCACCCCCTCCCTGGGCAGCCTGTTCCAATGCCCCATCACTCTTTCGGTGAAAAATTCTTTCCTAATGTTCAATCTAAACCTACCCTGTTGGAGCTTGAAGCCATTTCCTCTCGCTCTGTCACTAATTACCTGTGAGAAGGGACCAGCACCAACCTCTCTCATTCTTCTGGGAATGAGCTGCTGCCCTGGCTTAAGTGATGCCCATCTTTATTTGAAAAAGGAGCAATTTAAAACAGAAAAAAAGAGCTTCTGACTGACAAAGACATGGTGGATTGAACTGATAGCTGGCTCTCTTGCTTCACGGCATGTTCCCCTCTCATAACCGTGTACTCCTCACCACCAACTTTATGCCCCATTGCTGTCCATCAGACCCTTCCACCTGCCACCTGAATTCACTAACACAGCAAAACAGTAAGTCAGTAAAAAACTGGGCCATTTTCTTTCAGTGACCTAAACAGTTCAGTAGGGGACATGACACTTGTCCCATCCGGAACACAGGCAGAGGAAGATGGAGATGCAAGTCTCTTCCCTTTGGCCACCACTGACTCAGCTGCCTGTGGAACCACAGCCTAAAGCTTCTCCACTGGCAAAATCAATTTAAAGGGTTCCTGCCCATCCCACTCAGGCTGTGTTTTAGGGGAACCACCTTTTATACATGCATCACACACCTGGTAAATATTAAAGTTAATTCCCCAAAACAGCTGCAGTTTTAAGTAGAAAGAAGTAACAAAACTCTTTAGATCTGTTTTTACATAAAAGCAATGATTTCTTTGGAACCACAAGCACAGACCCCAACACCAACGGGTGCAGCACACTCTGGCAGCCCCAGCAACAGGAACTATCCTGTTCCTCACATAACGACAGGCTCATGTTAATGCTAACATAGGTCTCCCTGGGTGTAAATTCAGAGGTGGACAGACTATAATTTGTGCTACAGAGCAAGGAGACAAATGGGGCAACGAGGACATTTGGGAGAAAATGGAGCAACTCGAAGGAAAGGCTGCCTGCTGTCTGTGATGTGTTTAAAGTCAGGGGGAGCTCAGGGAATTTTCTCTTTAAAACAGTAAGATAACACGAAGAATATAACTGAAGTCATTTTATTCAGCTTTGAGCCTGAAAATTTGTGCCAGTATCTTTTTCACAGACGTGTTTTGAAATTCCTTTCGATTTTAGTCTAGGGCAACATTCAGATACCTTTGTACAATTAACCTGTTAAGCAGAGATAGTGAAACACCAGTTAAAAACAGCAAAGCCTCTATTTGAGAGGCAAATATGACAAACAGAAGAGAACTTAACTGAGAAAGCCTGAGAGGGCACACAGCTGGGGAGAGGTGTGTGCACAGGAAAAAGGAGCTTCTAATTTTTTGATTGCTACCGATGAATCCTACTGCTCAGAGAGTTCTCTCCCTCCTGCACCCGCTGAAACCACATCACAAGTTTTGGAAAACCTTCTGAAAACCATTGGAAAATCTTGCAGCAGCACCACCATGTACCAAACCAACCTCAATAAGCTCTGCACTAGATGAACACACAAAGATGTCCCTTCAGCTGATCTCTCCAGAGGTGGCGGCAGCCCCAACCTGGGCTGGTGCGTTGTAAAGCCCTAAGAAAGCATTTGGGAGCTCGGAATTTCAGGTGACAGGCCAGACCCAGGCAATGGGTGTGCCACAGCTAAATCACACTGACAGACGAAATAATCCACATAAGAATAAAGTACTATTGAGGTAAGTCTCAAAAACACATCTTCCCCACTCAGCAGCTAGATTTAATACTAATAAAAGCAACAACAGATATTTTTTTGGCTAATAGCTAAAAAACTGTGTACAACATGCAAAAGCCATCCCAATTCAAGCCAATATTATTCCCATATACTTAAAGGAGGGACTTGTGTCTCTGCTCTAGTCATACTCTCTACCCTGTCAAGGGATGTGTCCTGGTTTAATGCTGCCATGGTCACCAAAACACAGAAAGCCTCTACGTTCCAGCCAAAGCTGCCCCAGCCATGAGGAAGGGAGACAGGTAGGGCCCCATGATCTAACTGACCCTGTATTGTAAAAGAGTTGTGCATCAGTGGACAGGGATGGTTCTCATACCTGCATCCCAGTTCCAGCGGGCAGTCTGACAACTGGCCATGGGACAAGGTAAGACAAACCATCTGAGCACAGTAAAAAGGGAAGTGATATGTGGATTCTTAGTTTATCCCACCCTTGGTAATAAAAAAAGCCAATATCCTTCAAAGTGCAGGATATTCTGGGGTTTACCTATCCCACCCTTGTTCTTGTTCTCCATTGCAAGATGTAACAATCCCAGACTCCAGGGTCTGCCCTTGAACCCTCACCATGCAGAGCTTCAGGGAGTGCTGCAGTACAGTCAGCTTCCAGTTGACTGCGCACTGTAGGGTCTGGCAATTCCTTTTGCTGTCATATTTATTGGTATGACTATATCTAATGAATTTTCATCAGAAGTTCTCCCCCTCAGGGAGGTAGTCCAGATACCATCAAGTCCATTACTTACTGTTAAAAAATTCCTCATAGTCAGTTTTCTCCACACAGCATGTGTACATGCGCAACGCCGCCACCTTAATTTTCTAAAGAAAAAGAAAAGACAGTACTTAAAGTATTCATCATGAGAGACAGCAAACACTACTATTTTTGTTAAATACATACATTATCATTTCCTGAAAAGACTTCTTTCAGAATCACCACCACTTGAGATTTTCAGGAGCACATTAAGCTATTGTATGTCCCAGGAATGACACAAGTATAATCAACCATACCTCGGGGCAATAAAAATAATTATTAAATGGCTTCTTGAATACCGTTCAAAATCAAGTTTAATATAATACTGTCATTACAGGAAAATAAATGAAATTACTTTCCTTACAGAGACTCCAAAGATCCCAATTCCCAATTCCAGGTTTCCTCCAATAACTTTAATTGATGTATACCACTCAAAGCGTTTCGTATAATTTAAGGATTAAAGAAGTGACATACCAGACATGTCCTAAAAATATCCTTTTTTCCTAGGAAAATGAAAATTGACCAACTAAGCTTCACAAGTCAGAAAGGAATCCCAAATGATGGATGACATGAGGTACATTCAGGTGCTTTGGCACTTCTAATTTTGTTCTTGGCCTGCCCTTGCACCAGAAACACCTTCAGTGCTACATCTGTAAGAAAGATAAACGTGCTGCAGCTTCAAAGAGTGCAATAACGGAGAGCAATGATGTTGAAGAGAAGAGCTGCAAGCCATTCCTGGTTATTAACATCAAGGGGAAAAAAAGAAAAGAATTTGAAAACTCCAGAGCCTACTCCCCTACTTAAGCCAGAAGGCAGTAGTGGGTTTAGGTGGTTTGGGGTTTTTTTTTTTTATTTTTTTTTTAGTGATGCATACCAGGGATCATCGGAGTGCTCACTATATTACAAAGAGGAGCACTATGCCTGTCAAACTGCACTTCAAATTACCAAAGTAATAATTTGTGTCTCCTCCAACCAAAAGAAAACTAAGGAAGGTGCAGCTGACCCCTTGCTGTGCAAACACAAGAGACATTCTTTTTCTTATTGAATAGTCTCAGGTTTCTGTCAAAAATCAACTATACATCAAAACTTCTTGCAGTAAAATAATTTACATTGCTTACTGGAGTTCTGAAAGTTTCCTTTTTAAAGGAAACGCTGCCTGGTCTGGGAGCACAGATCTCTCCAGTGAAAGCCAATGCCCCAGACCAGGCATTTCTAGACATTAAAAACATATTGTAAAGAACAGTCTCTGCAATCCAGCCCTTAAATAAGGCAGGTAACACAGGAGAAACTGGTGGAATTTAATCATGGAAATTTTAGGGTGTAGAAGAGGTGTGGGGGAAGGGAGAAGAAAATGGAAAAAAGCAGAGAAATATTAAGGAACTTCCCTAAGATCTCACAGGGAGCACTGGCAAGGCCAAAAAATGAACTCAGGTCTCTTGGGCCCTAACCACAAAATAACTCTCTCCAAACCCAAGCTCCCCAGCCAAAGGCAGGCAGTAAAGAGCAGCAATTAAGGAGAACTCTGAATCAACACTTAGAGCTAACAAGAATCTTTATTACAACAATATGTATCCACATGGGAGAGAAACTACCCTCTCACGAGGTTTAGCATCACCTGATTAAAAATAACTGATTTTAACCAAAATACCTGACCCCCTTAAGTGTCAGTTATCTTTCCTTTACATTTTCTCTCCGAGGAGCGAGGTGCAATCAGCAATAGTGTCAGAGCAGTCTCAGCAGAGCTCCACTCTGCCTTGCAGATATTCAAAGCACCGTGTAGGTTTAAATTCCTGCAGAGTTGGGCTCAGCCCTTCCTTCAAGCTGCCTTTTCCTCCCACTCCTTTATACCGTGTCCTATGTCAGAGCAAAGAAATCATTAATTTCATCTCTCTTTCCTTCTGCATAAGGAACTGAAGGTGTCTCTTACAGAACTGCTCTCATTTCGTCAATGTTAACAACTGCTTTATGAAAGGACTACTTAAAAAACAACAAGGGGTGGAGGGGGGAAGCTATTTGTGACTCTGCCCTAGTGCTACTACTGCCCAGCGAGTCACAAATCAAACAACACAACAAATCAAGCAACACAAATCAAAACACAGAAGAGCCTCAGTAACAGAAACAAGTCAGACCAAGTCTCCTCAGTCCAAAGAAAGCCTAAGATACTATGGAATATATGAGCCTGTAAAATCGTCAGGGGAAGGGAGAATGCAAACATACACTCCAAGGAAAGAATAATCATCTTTTTTTTTTTTTTTTTTAAAGTACAAAATTAAAAGACATCAACTGAAAACAACTGTTCTTCTTCCCCCAGTGTCTCCTTAAGCTATAGAACTCCCTGGTACCGGATGCTGTGGATGTGATAAACTTACAAGAGTTCAAAGTGCAACCAGACAAATTTATAGAAGAAAAATCCATCAATAGATACTACAGAAAAATGTGTCGTTTCATGCAGGAAGTCCTGAAACAGACACATGTGGTAGGCTGGAGGAGCAGGGGGATTGGAACTCGATCTTTAAGGTCCCTTCCAACTCTAACTATTCTATGATTCTATGAGACAAGTATCATAATATGCTTTTCCTGTAATTAAATTCTTTCTAGATAACTGCGATTGGTTATTGTTAGAGACAAGATGATGGTGAGAATTTGAATAAGGCATGATGGTCTACATGGGAGTTTGACTAAGGCTGCTATTGTGTTCTTTGGTGCATAAATGAAGTGAAAAATAAGATATCTGAAGAAATTCAAGAAGGCTTAAGACTCTACAAATCAAATAGAATGTTCCTACTTATGGCAATGATGGCAATGCATAGATGGGTCAAGCTATGGAATATCATTCTTCACATCACAAAACAGGATTTCACATGGGTAATAATTAGAACTTTTCCATTAAGTACTGCTCCTACCATAAGAAAAAAAGTGAGGATTTTTTCATTTGCTGTTCAGAACTCAAAGTATCGACCAACCAAAAGAATAACTGAGTGCCTTACCCATCTGCTATACTTCAGCGGCCCCGTGAAACCCAATGCTTCTATTATCCTCGTGAAAGCACCCACTTTCTCTTCAGATGGCTGCAAGGAATCTTTTGCAGTAAGATGCTGTAAAATTGAAATATTGCATATTTCAGCCTTCGCAATGAAATCTGACAAATCATTTCAGTTAAAAAAGCTACAAGGTTAATAGAGAATTTTAGGGTTTTTGTTTACTTTCTTTGTTGAACAACACAAACACGTATTTATGTTTTCTCTGCAAAATATGACACAGTTTTTCCTACGTGACACTCTTCTGTTTATGAATGCAAACACTGCACAACTGTTTTGATAAAAGCGTCCCATTGGAAGCTCAGACTCAAACAGTTTGTGCAGAAACCTGCTTTCCAGAATATAGTTCCCATTGTGGATTCCTGTATTTCTTCCTAGCTGTGTGCCTTTACTTGGGCTTCCATCTTTTGCAGATAAAACCAGCAAACAAATCACAGGAAGTAAATAAAGCTAACCTTTCACATTCCCTCTCTCACAGGCATACCACATTCTAGGGTTACTATATACTCTATAAACCAATAAGCTCCTTCTTAAAACCAATGAAGCTACATGAACCCACTGTTCTTACTGAAAAGTTCCCCCAGATGGTTATTCCCCTTCCAGTTAATCTAAATGGCACTAGCAAAAAATCTAGATCAGGAAAGTATTTAATCTTCAATGATTTGCAGTGTCTGCAAATGTGAAGATAAATGTTCTCTTCCAGATTAACTACACACTTTAAACACCACTGGACTGATAAGAAGTCTTCGTGGCATTCTGCCTGGAAGCATCCCGGCAGCAGCAATCAGCCAGCAGTAATTACCACGTGTACTCCAGCAAATAATTTCTAATGAATTAAGTATGCAGGGTAAACATTTTGTTACCAACAAATTAACTTTTAACCCCCCCAACCAAAATCTAACGCATGTGAATCTCCTACATATACTCAAGGAATACAGCTGAGAGCCATTATAATCTGAGATAAAGTTCCCTGACCAAAGAAATGTTAAATTGCTTTACATTGCTGGAATTTTACCCTCCACGCTTCCTCCTAGCACATGAACATACTAAGGAAAGAATTTTCTTAGTATGGAAGCAGTTTAACAATGCAAGGACTGCCATACGTAGCCAGAACACAGACCAGGATGTCATCTCCAACAAGGACCAGTAGCAGACACCTGGGACAAGACACAAAAGTGGAGAAATACGGGACAGACAGAACACAGGGGACCCGTCCAGCCTCTGACAGTCACTCCTGCACCAGAAAATGCATCCACACCTTCATTTTTGATGAATTGGATGTGCCTTCAGCAGCCCAGTGTTTGAAACTACTTCACCTTCATAACACAGAGCTGTGGCACATGAGTTTCACAGTTTAGTGATGTAAAAAAAAAATTGCCTTGTGCCTGTTTTAAATCCAACCTCGCCATTTCATAGGAAAATTGGGAGCACCCAATAAGAAGCCACAACCAACCACTTCCTATCCCCTTTTTCAGTATCTTTGATGACATTCATAGGCCAGTATCATACACATGGCCATCAGTTATCTCTCCTTAGTTTAGAAGGGTCCTAAAATAGCCTTTTGATCATTCTGGCTGTACTCTCTATTGCTTTCCTAACAGTAGTATTGTAATTATTTAAATGACATGAATGCTAAATAAATACATATTAAAATACAGACACGTATCCTGCACAAGTTGCCATACTTAATTAAAAACTAACTGTAAAGGTGTCAAAAATTGTAGCATTGAGACCTAATCAATCCCTACATATATCCACAAGTATTTGAAATGAAATAGATGAAAGAGGGGAAATACACTATAGGTAGTGTACTAGCTATAGATGGCTATTCCTGTCTTGAACCCCAATATTCTTGTCTTGACAATATTCCTGTCTTGAACCCAATACTCTGGACCTTTCAGATCATCACGCTCAGAGCTATTTTAGTATCTATCAGTCTCCTCATAAGACAGCGTTAACACTCTCCAGGGCCTCCTTTACTACTCACAACCTTGCTTTGAATGGTGGCCATTAAACCTGTTCACTGAGTCCCCCGTTATCACCCAGAACAAAAGCCTCTCTCCCACCCTCTGTCACATGTGAGGCACACGAATATTCTTGTCTTGACAATATTCCTGTCTTGAACCCAATATTCTGCTATATAGGAAGAAACACGCTCAGAGCTATTTTAGTATCTATCAGTCTCCTCATAAGACAGCGTTAACACTCTCCAGGGCCTCCTTTACTACTCACAACCTTGCTTTGAATGGTGGCCATTAAACCTGTTCACTGAGTCCCCCGTTATCACCCAGAACAAAAGCCTCTCTCCCACCCTCTGTCACATGTGAGGCACACAGTGAGTCTACTGATACGTATGTGAATATTTAGAATCATAGAATCATATAATCGTTCAGGTTGGAAGAAACCCTTGGGATCATCGAGTCCAACCATCTCCCCTACTCTACAAAGTCCTCCCCTACACCATGTCCCTCAGCACTGCATCTAAACGGCCCTTAAACACAGCCAGGGATGGATGAATGCTAAATAAATACATATTAAAATACAGACACGTATCCTACACAAGTTGCCATACTTAATTAAAAACTAACTGTAAAGGTGTCAAAAATTGTAGCATTGAGACATAATCAATCCCTACATATATCCACAAGTATTTGAAATGAAATAGATGAAAGAGATGAAATACACTATAGATAGTGTACTAGCTATAGATGGCTATTCCTGTCTTGAACCCCAATATTCTTGTCTTGACAATATTCCTGTCTTGAACCCAATATTCTGCTATATAGGAAGAAACACGCTCAGAGCTATTTTAGTATCTATCAGTCTCCTCATAAGACAGCGTTAACACTCTCCAGGGCCTCCTTCACTACTCACATCCTTGCTTTGAATGGTGGCCATTAAACCTGTTCACTGAGTCCCCCGTTATCACCCAGAACAAAAGCCTCTCTCCCACCCTCTGTCACATGTGAGGCACACGGTGAGTCTACTGATACCTATGTGAATATTTAAAGCAACTTTTAGTACTTTCTCGTCAAGATTACCCCATGCAATACTCTTCCCCTCCACACTAGAAATGACACCTACCCTTACATCATGAGATAAGCCCCCTTCAGCCAGGCAATGAAGGGACATACTCAATGCAGAACCTGTGTCCCAACGACCACTGTCGTACCAAACTCCCTCCATCAACTGTCATCTCCTCCACAGGAATTCAAATCCCACTCAACCCCTAGTGAAGCTAGGCACGTTCATTTTACTAGAATCATAGAATCACAGAATTGCCCAGGCCGGAAGGGACCTCCAAAGGCCATCTAGTCCGACCCCCCCGCAGTCAGCAGGGACACCCCCAACTAGACCAGGTTGCCCAGGGCCTCGTCGAGCCTCGCCTTGAATATCTCCAGGGAAGGGGCCTCAACCACCTCCCTGGGCAACCTGTTCCAGTGCCCCACCACCCTCACAGTGAAGAAACCACCACTACAACTGGCACTGCCAAGCGCCTGAAGGACAGTGTCAAAGCCAAGCCTCTGAGCAGGACTCTTCCCTCCTCCTAAGGGACGCTCCTGCTTGCTGGCCAGGGCAACTGAGGTGCTTGCTCAGGCTGTACCTGTTCTGGGGCTGGCCAGGGGCTCAGACCAGTGCCAGGCACCCAGCCTGCTGCTGACTACCCTGCATTCCCAGCAGCGCTGGAGACAGCTTGTTCCAGTCAGCAGCAAACGTCCCAGAGCTCTGTCCCGGTCATAGTGCTCCAGCTATGACCAGATTGCAGAAGATGGGTTTCTCATTTTGCTTCTCCCAGAGTGGCTTTTCTGTCCCTTCTGTTGTTCGTTCAAATGAAAGGCAAATGCATCATCTGAGCTGCCTAGCAGAGCCCTGCTCTCCAGGCTGGTGCCAGCTCGCGGTGTGCGTGGGAAAGGGATGAATCATTGTTTGCGGCACGAAGATGTCCTTGATGGAAATTTTCCAGCTCTCAAGGGAGAGCTCCCTCCTCCCCTCTCCCACCCACCCAAACTGCAACCACTGCTGTTAACACATCAAAGGCGCTGGCAGCCCTGCCTCGTTCAGGCTTTCCTGATTACCTCTGCTCTCCTGACTGATTAAAAACCCAGCTTCAGGCTTGGCTGGGCCCGTGCTTGGTGTGTGGAGGCTGGACACAGCTGCTGGAGTGGTGGGGGTGGCAGCCATGGACACAGCAGGTAACAAGGAAGAGAAGCGATGGTCCCAGGCAGTGATGGAGGCATGGGGGACCTCCTACAGCAGTAGGAAGCATCATCCCACGTAAAACTCTGGTCTTTGCTGCATGAGCTCACTGGTGGTCCTATGGGCATGGCCAGCCAGGCATAGGATGCTACTTTCAGTTATCCATCCAAATTCAGATACTGGCTGTGATTGTCCCCTGAAAGTTCCTCTACACTTTCAGTTAGATACGGTGCTTGTTCCTGTCTTTTCTGTGTTTAAATGGGCTTTTTTTACACTGCAGAGATAGCTGTAACAATAATTGTTATGTACCTTGTATATGTGAGTGAATGTAAATTTGGGTAATT